TACTACACATGCAGCATTACAAAGTTCTTTTTTCTTCAGGAAAAATCAGCAGAATTACCGGTGAAAGCTGGTTCATCCTCAGCTTTACCGCTGAGCTTCATTCCGAATTCGCTTTCCTCAAAATATCGCGACCATGGTGATGTGACGCCTTCTGCAGGTTAGTGTCATCTGTTTAGCAGCAGGAATCTATGCCTTCTCCACTTAATCTTTTGTCGGCAACATATTTCTATTAGGATACAGTTTGAAAAAACTATTTTCTGTATTTGAGTAAATGGCGTTTTCTGATTTTTATGTGGGGTAAATGATTTCCATGCGTGATAACTCATTACTTTATGAATGGTATCATTGTGTGAAAAAAAAAGTACTATTCTTACGTTATAGTTCACATGGTACAGAAAATACCATTATATAGTGATAGTAACTTCATAATGCGCATCTAATTGTTCACAATTTTGACAAGTCCTTTTAGAATCCAGTTATAATTTAGCTGATTAAGCAAACCAACCATTATGAGCTCATTTGCTTGTAAAGACTCACTCTACAGAATAATGCTTTGGACATGTCAATGATGTCACTAAGTGTAGTGGTAAAATTTCTTGCTGAGATTGCCTTTAGATCTTTTCTTCTTGCCACTTTGTCGTTTCCCTTTCTTCTGTGTGATATTCTTCATCTTGTCCATCTCACTCTGTCAATTGGCTTCTATTCACGAACTTAACCTGGTTTGTGTTGCTTACAGCATTACTTGGAACAAGGCATCTACTGGAAGAAAACAATCAGGCTCTGAATCAAATTGCGGCAAATCTTTCAACAGTCAAGGTATCAATCTCAACGTCTTGTAGTGGGAGGAGTCTTCTGAGATAATTGGAAGGGAAAAGGAAAAGTAAAATTCTGAATTGTTGGTGGAGGACTTTAGCTATTTCTACTTTGGAACAGCATACCAGGATAAAATAAAAACATTTCAAAATTTTAGGGTTCCTTGCATCTGATAACAAGTAAAAGATAATATTTTCATTCCCCTGCCTCTATTTATTTCTTATACAAATCATGAGTCGGAGCATCAATTACCACCACAAAACCCACATTTAAGAAGCGTTTCAATAGTTTTGGAAAAGTAATGGGATTTAAACTTGTTTTCTTGTCGTCATTTTCTCAACGAAGTCTCAACTTTGGAAATTTTACTGAAGAAAGTAATTGTGAAAATGATTTTAGTCCATTTTTAGGATTTTCACTGAAGCTGGTCACTGAGAAGTGGTAAAAATAGAAATTGGTGAAATCAACAGATGTCCAAGTCTAGACTATATTTTATATAATCTTTGATTTATGTTAGGACTAGAAGAAAATGTATAAATTTTGGATGTATTCAGCCCATGCTCACACAGCCTTAATAAAATAATGGTGTTATCCAGTCATGATAAGTTTGTATGTGCGCATACCGAGTTACAGTGCGTTATGGTTGTGCATACACTTGTAATACTCACAGTGGAATGATTGGTACTCTCTTTTCCCCTTGTGTTTTTTTGATAAATTGGAAACACTTTTGCTTTTTTCCCTGACAAATTCACCACTAAGTAGATGTAAGGTATACCTTAGAGATTACCAGATGAGTGGCACAACCCTGTTATTTCATGGCTTCATGGTATGCCTGACATACCTGAGAATGCCATGAATCAGATCAGCCTTTTATATAATGGTTAGAAAAGAGGAAATCTGCAGAAGCCCCCCCACCCCTCACTGCTTCCATAAAGTCTATTCAAAGTTGAGCTCTTTAGGCAGAAATGGTTGAAGCAAATAAAGACTAATTGGGAGGGAAACTAGAACTTCAAATGGAAAATTTGGTGCGTGAATTTGAAGAGCTCTGGAAGGAGATGCACACAAGTTATTTGTATAAAATGCTCCAAGTCAGTATGACTGGTGACTTGCAGATCTCAAGTCCCCGTTTAAGAACTCAGATAAAGATTATTATCGAAATTCTCTAATGAAAAAATTGGTTTGCTCCCATAATTTGCAAGACTTCCGCTATTCCAAAGGAGAGATAAGTTCTTCGAACGCCTCCTATATACATAGTCCACATGAGATATAAGAAAACTCCTGTCTCTGTCTTCACAACTCCTCTCGCATGTAACCTCTTGGTTATCTACATAAATAAAAATGTCCGGAATGCATATAAGAGATGTAGGGGAGCCACCTACACATCTGTTTGTTTGAGTCTACTCTGCTGTATTTAGTAATTCTGCAAATTGTTCCTCAGATGTAAGAATTTAGTTATGTGCCTTCCAAATGAAAGGATCATTGAGGGACGGATTCTAACATAAAACAGTTGGGAATTGCAAAACTAGCTAATTGTAAGGAAAGCAGAAATTTGTGTAGGAGTCATATTAAAGATGTGGTTAATTCGTGCAGGCATCTTTCTTGTCCTATTTTTGTCATTTGTGTACCAGCTTTGATAGCCTCTAAGTTCAGTTTAATTTTAAATACAGATCTTTGTTACTGTTACCTATGTAATTTGTGTGGGATAATAGAACTAAGCAGTGATGCTCCTTCAATCTATCTACCATCCCAACCCCCTTCTCCATTTTGATCTTTGTTTCTTATTTTTCCCATTTTAGTTCTTTCATCCATTACTTGTAACAGGTGAATCAATAACTGAAAATTAGCTTATTTCCCTCCTCCCGCCAACATTTCAGCCAATGGGAGGGTAAACGGGAAGGAAAAAATAACAGTGAAATATCAAAGCAATTTGTTTTCTTTTATTATTTCTTGTTGCAACCTTGGTGTGTGTGTGTGTGTGTGTGTGTGGGTGGGGGGGTTCAAATACTTAACTGATATCTGATATTTATATGTAATTGGGCAGTTTCAGGACAACATTAATCTCTTCATCCGAACGAGGAATAACATAACGGCAATTTTAAACGAGTAATGTTATTAATATATTCGTTATACTTGACAGGGTGAATTTGGTTGTCATACAATTCTTTTACTGATAGCGTTGTTTATGCTGCAGCATGAGAAATATGCCAGGTATTATGAGCCAAATGCCACCCCTTCCAGTTTTATTGAATGAGGAACTTGCTAGTAGTGTTTTGCCTAGTACAACTCAGGTAATCAGATTTTTGTACACTATTTTAGGTTTAATGACCTAATCCCTCACCCCACTATAAATTTTACAATGTGACACGAATCCTCCCCATGTAACTATAATGACATAATGATGTTTTTCCAGCCAATGATGTTTGCGTCCACAAGTGGAATCCAGCTGAAACAAGAGCCAGGCTGTTGATGGAGAACGCTTGGTACTAATTTTGGGTTACTAGCTTGTGTAAGTACACCAATTTTTTTGCTGTAAATGCATAAAGAGCTGGCAGGTCTTTGCAGCTTGGGTATACGATGATTGGGTTCCACATGAAATTTTATCAGAACCCAGTTTTTTTTGGAAGCTGAACACACATGAACACGAGCACCAGGAAATAACAGCCTCATATGTTATTGCTTATCAGGGGAAAAACTGTGATCTTGATAATGCACTTGCAAGTTCATTTTCTTGTTTCCACCTTCTGTGTGTAAATTTAGGAGACAAAATTGTTCTTCAATGTCATTTTCCACGGTGCTTAAATAACGTTTAGTTTTTTTTTTATAATACCTTAATATTTGCGGATTCTTGTGTTGAGTTGAGTTTGTTGCACTCTAGGTGTATATTTCATAGGGTAAATAATACTTGATTTCCTACTGAATACTCCTGTCTTGATTTGATATGAGTATTTAAGAAAAACAAGATGTAAGAAGAGAAAAGATTTGAGGTCAGTTATTTCTTATATCATTTGAGTTAGTTGACTTAGTTCCATTCTTAACTCCATCCATTACATATTGACTATTGAGGATCAAGATTGGAGATTCTAGAAACAAATAGCAACTCTTGTGTACTTTTTTTTATGTTATATGATGTGATAAAACTTTTGTTCTGAAAACATATATTCTAATGAAAAAAAAATAACAATCCTGTTTCGAGTGATGGTTTGGCATACAATTGAGGCTGGCCTAATTTGTAGCTGTAGATGGCTACAAAGGAAAATGACTTTCACCCTCAAGTGGAGAATATTCACTTTTGGTGTTTGGTAACTAAATATAGTCCATCACTGAAACTTTTCCAGGAAAATATTCACAAAGGAAAATCCAGATAATACTTTTCCAGGAAAATATGGTCCATCACTGGAACTTCTTTTCTAAAAAGCAACTTCTTGAAAATAAGTTAGATGACTTCTTTTACGGAAGTAGGGAAAATAAGTTGTATCGTCTCCTCTCCACCCTGATAACCACTCTGTCCCCTAACTCCATCCTCATAGTTTCGTCTTAGACATAAAAACATTTTTGTCTGTACTGTACACACCTTTAGAGTGCATGATTCTTCATCTGTGTTTATTCCAAGAAGTAATATAGTAAATGTGTTTACCGCAGATGCCCGGTCTGGATTTTGTACATAGATGATGTGGAGAGAGCAGTTTCGTTCACCATCTCTTGGTTATCGACAATCGTGACATAAAATTTTGGAGTGAAGATGTCAACTTCTGAGGAAGAAACAAGGAAACATCTCACACAATGACGCATCTTAAACAATTGCCATAAATTCCTTCAAAGTCGAGCCATCAAACGACATTGAACAAGTCTATTTGGGAACTTTATTACGTCTTTAAACAATTTCAATACTCAACTTACCACTAATCATTAACTTTCGATGTTGCAAAAGTTATACCTTTGTTTGGGAATTAATCAGATTAAATTTCTATATCACAAGTTGAGGGTAGGATTCCACTATGTTATTTAATTTTGTATCATGATACCTTAAGCAGCAACGACAATGACAAAAGTGAAAGATCTCTAGTGTTTGAAACCCTTAGAGTACTGAAGATAAGGTAAAAATGCCTATTACAACCATTTTTTCTCTTTTAAAAACTAGAAAGCCTTCTGTCTAGAAATCAAAAGAAAATTTGATTGACACAAGTCGGTGATTGGACATTGAGGGGGAAAAAACTGCTTTTTACGGTAGATTTCAAATTACAGAATAGAATGTACCATGTTGCTTCCACTTGAAAAATATACATGAAAAACCACTCAGGGAATTTCGTCAACTCTAGTGAGCTACTGGCATAAAGTGAAGTCGAGCTCCAAACAAAAGAATGGTCTCGAGAATAATCCTCAACCAGCAAAACTCCACTTCTGAAACATACCTGCAGCCAAACAAGCGCAGATATTGGAATCACAAAAAGTAATCTGGAGTCTTCCTTGTAGTGTCGGGCTCTATCTGTCGAGGAGCTGGGTCAAACTGAAGGAAATTCTGCTCCATGTTTTCGCCTATTTCTAGAATGGCAGCCATATTACCACACCGGTAACAATAGTTTGGAGCACTAAATACCGTCACAACATTCTTATCCTGCCAAAGTTGCACCACCAAATGGTACGTTAAAGTCACAAAATGGTCGCACTAACAAGTACCAATGAGATGAAAAAAGTAGGAGATGAGAGGGGATGTTTCAATTTAGGTCCACAAACCTGACACCAATTGAAACCCTCCATCACAAGCTGATGAGCTCTAGAAATCAGGGTGAGACCATTGGTGTGATTGAATTGAGATGCTATATCCTGTCCAAAGGTGTAACCAGCCCCTCGAGGTGATATTCCCCAACCACACCGATCATCTGGATCAGACCACAGGAGATCACACATTGGCCCTTCATGTGGAACCTAATTACCACCAAATAAGATGCATAAGCAATGAGGCCAGTAACATTAATGTGCATAGCATTTAGATCATGAAACATAAGAGACAACGGACACCACTAATGCAAAATGTGCAACGATCAGCAAAAAGTTAATAGAGCTGCTATAAGAACATGGAGATGTCAGACTTCATCGGATATCAGATAATAAAAGGTAGTAATTTCTGTCTCAAAGTCTCCAAGGGGAAATGGAGATATCATTGCATAGCAGATCAGGAAAATGTTAACAATGATGCTATAGATACACAGAAATATCAGAAACTCAAACTGTGATAGTTCCTCTCTCTAGGCTTCTGAGAATTGAAAAGGCATGTACTATGACATGGCAAGAGAAATGACGAGTAGGGAATGGGCTATACTTGAGCATTTTATGGTAAATATTGAGAACAACCGTAAACTTATGAAGGAAAAATTAGAAATTACGATGAACTCTTTGAAATGATAAAACAGAATTTTTGTTCTTTTCTTTGAAACATCAATTCTGACTTTGTAATTCTACTGGACATTTCTGCAGAAACATAAACTGTGATGGACAGAAAGTTGTTGCACCAAGAAGGAAAATTTTTTGGAAAGTAAAACTTAGTTACTGCAGGATGTCTCTGTGAGGGCATCTGCTAAAATTTTGAGGGGGGAAAACCTGCCAGAGTTGGATAGATCAAGTAGGAGGAGAGCCACCGATGACAAAATACAAAAGTTAATGTGGCATCACCAGAATATAAACGCGTAAATCTCAAAACGGATATCTACCTCTTGTATACGGTCCAGCGCTCGGATATTATCCAGTGTATCCAGAGAAGGTGAGAGTCCTCCATGCAAACAGAATATCTGTAATAAAACACTATATATTAGCTAACATTTCTACTAACATGAAATGTCAGTAAAGTAAGAGCTCAAACCTGACTCTCTATGAGTGCTGTTAGTGGTAGATAATCAAAAAGATCAGTGAAATACTTCCAAACATTTGCATTGCCATATTTCCTCAAGCATTCATCATAAAAACCATACCTGGCAGGAAAAAGAGCTATGTTAATTACACCATACATGACTTGAACAGCAGTCATACAGTCCTCTATAAACCGAAGACGAGGGACATTGACTATGAATCACACTAATAATTCATCCCAATGATATATGAGTTTACTGAACAATTTTTTTATGTTATGAACTTACAGTTACTATAGACAATTACCAGTAATCGGATTTTAAGCAACCTCATAGAGTCATTATTTTTAGTGTTTAAATGTTAAAATTATTCTTTAAACATATTCATAGCTGATACTCTCACACCGATTTGAAAGTTTGATCAAGTCTAACAAATGCAGTGTTTTCTCGAATAAAATAAAAAGCATTAATTTATATGACTTTATTTTCCCGAGATGAGAAGAAAGCAACCTGTGGCACATCCTCATCTGCATTATCCTAAAGTTCATATAAATTTTGGGAACCATCCCCCTTCCCCCTCCTTCAAAAAAAAAAAGAAAAAAGAAAAAAGAAATTAAAAGAACTCATTTTTATCCTTAGCCTTGGGAACAACGTTTCCCCTCCCTCCAATAATAATTACAATTTCTGGTATAAAGGAAACCATGTTTACAAACTATTAATAGTAGAATATACTCCCTCCGTTCCTTTTTATATGTCATTCTTACTATAAGTAGTTGGTCCATAATACTTGTCATTTCATAAAATCAATGCATAAATTACAATATTCTTCCTATTTTACCCTTGGGAGTTATTCGCCTTGAAAATATACATTTGAACAACATATAAAAACTAAGTGAATAATTCATGTTCATTGGTCAAATTAATTAATCAAAATTAATTAATTCATAATCTTTGATTGAAAAGTTAAGACTTCAAATTTTTTTTAAATAAGGGTAGAATAGTAAGCTTAATTTCTAATAAAAAATGGTGACATATAAATAGGAACGGAGGGAGTATATACCAATAAACTGCATGTAGATTAACTCCAACCGACAAAATAAAGACATTCCACCTTTTCCTATAGAATTTCTACTCCCACCTTTTTTGGTGCATTCTTCATGCTATAAGACAACGGCGTGATTCAAACATGCACACACGTGCAAGAAAGTCTATCATGTACGTAGTCTCTCCTGAACATTACCTTAATATAAAGACAAAAATAGAAGGTAGAGAACCAGTACTTAATCTATATCTAGATCATTTCTAAAACTGGAAGGTCAATAAAAGCAAAGGTATATTGGTTGATCACGTGTCAATAACTCAGTAAAGAAAAGAACAGTTTTGAAGCAATACTAGAACAAAAATAATTTCTTTGCCAAGTGGAAGGTTTAGATTTTCTCTGATCAGTTCATGAAACATTTAACATGGACCTTCAAGCAGAGTAGATTAGGTAGGTTTTTTAACATTCTTCTAACTGTGTTATTATTGACTAATCAGAGCCTATAAAAAGAACAAAATCAGAGTACACAGCAGTTAAAGCTACATTTTATACAAAAAGAGGTACAATAGAAGTCCATATGCCCATATGCAAATAATATAACTATGAAAAGAATAGTTCTTTGGATATAACCTGTGAGAAAGATAAACCATTATTAGGCACCCCCAAGTTAAATAATAAGATTACTTAAAAGAAAAATTAGAAGACTTACACTTGGGTGATTTGCCGGCTTTCATGATTTCCCCTAAGAATCGTGATTCTATCTCTATAACGAACCTTCAGAGCAACCAAAAGTGTGACAGTCTCCACTGAATAGTATCCACGGTCTGCATTCATTGAACAATTATTCAATGATAAACAACTACAAAAATACTCAATCACAAAGAGAATTGGTAATGCTAGGATTGGTATGATGAAATGAGTGTATGGATGAGAAAAGGAATTGTGCATCACAGAAAATGTTAATACTCCCTCTCTCTTGTCACAAAAAGAATGTCACCTTTCTATATTTAAAAACTACCATTTAACTTTAAACTTCCAAGTTTACCTTCATGAGATGATTTATTGCCACATAAATATCTATAGAATGTTTTATACCACAAGTTTCAAAAGTCTCTGATTCTTTCTTATACTTCGTCACCAGACAAACACCATCTGAAAATTGAGTAGTATGAAACTGTGGTTTATTAGCCTGAAACCTTAATGATGGAGCACTTGTCAGATGCAAAGTTTTTAGAAAGAGGACAACAAAAGAATGAATAATGCAATCATGATCACAAGGAACACATGCACGTTATTTTATAAACCAAAAGACAACTCTGGGAGAGAAAAGTTTTCAAGAAATTAGGGATGAGTCGGTGTCAGTTGACAGCATTTAAAACACTACTGTGTTGTATTCCACTGGGCTAGATTAATTACTAAATGCCCACTCGATATCTGTGCAAGAGATCTTTTTACATAAGAGTACAAAGTGGTGACGAGGAACGCTTCCACTAAAGAAAGGATTTGTGTAGAAAGAAAGGCACAAAGGAACACTTTGTTACAAGTAAAAAGCCATAGCACCTTTTCCCGAATTTATGAGTCGGGAAATAAAATCCAACACGTCAATCCTCACTTTCACGAAACCTGTCTTCTCGCACTTAAATAAGCTTAACAAAAGGACAATCTACATGTACAACAAGCAAAAGTAAATCCAATGACGCAACTCTCACTGTCAATTGTCAAGAACTGCCCTGTCCTCTCGCACTTAAGCAAGCTTAACACAAGGACAATAGACATGAACAACAAACCATCGTGTTGTCAAATACAGTAAACAATAACTACAAACAAATTTTAGTCACTCATCACTTTGATTGGCTAAACGATTGTTCCTCAATTAGTGCCCTGCACGTGTTGACAGAATATTGCCAGAGCAAACTTTGACAAGTCCAAATATCTTTGGCCAATGAAATTTTCCAAATGAACAGGAATTTCTGTACCACCTGCGCAATCAAGACCATTATCTTACATCTGGAGAAGTCCAACCGGCAGTACATTTCAACTCCGCATCACAACAATAGTTCATGATTCATCACTTCGAGGTTAAACAATGAACAACTTAAATTAAAGCTTGTCATTTGTCATAAAACAAGATGTTATTAATGTAAATTGCCAAAACAAAAATCAAACACTATAATAACTACACCCATTGATGAATGGACAATCCCAGGTCATCCACTTCCTGAAACGACGAATGAAGAGCCCCCATGTGGAAGATTTTGAGGCACCCTTATTTTGTGCTAAACCACTCCCATGACTATTAGAGCTCACAACAAACATAGGTGCTCAGCATAAAGTTACTGTTTACAGTTGAATATACAATGTTGTTACAAGACCTATACCTCCATTCACATTAGTTGGCCTTCTCATTAGTACTTGTTACTACACATCCCATCTTTGTCACCATATCCAATGACAACAACTACACCTCAACCCCAAACTATCAGTTATATGAATCCTCAATATTCATTCTGCTCTATTTTGACTTCTTTCAAATACTTTTTCCATATTTTAATATCAATTATGAGTTCTCTCTCAACCCGAAGCTTCTCTAATTTTCTATGGACATACTAAACATGAAAAAAAATAAAGAAGCTAAGACACAATTAGCAACTGAAATTTAACAAAATTAGACCACAAAAAGAATTACTTGTACAATTCAATTCACATCTAGAGAATCCAAAGCCCTAATAAATGCAACAAACTACAAAATCTCCCAATACCGAAACAAATATTCAAAAACTCACCAACATAATCGCCCATGAAGAGATAATTAGTATCAGGAGCATTTCCTCCAATCCGAAACAGCTCAATCAGGTCGTAAAACTGACCATGAATATCACCACAAACAGTCACCGGACATTTCACCGGCTGAACATTCCATTCCTCAACAAGTATAGCCCTCGCCTGATCACATAGAGTTTTCACATCCGCTTCCGATAACGGCTTGCACTCCATCAATTGTTCGATCTGCCGATCTAGATCTGCATGAGACGGCATTTTTTTTCCAGATTCCTCTAGAACTCTCTAGAGCTTTAACAGAATTTTTTCCTTTCCTCACAATCTCCGATCTGAAAACTTCACGCCGACCGATCAGAGAATCGAACCGATCGAAGATCGAACGGTGAATATTCAGCTGATATCAATCAAACGAAATATACGTAACAAAAAAATAAAAATTAAACAGAACAAAATTCAAAAAAATACAAAGAGATTGAATATTGATAAAGCGCTAGGGTTTGAATCTCCAAATCATCTGGTGATATTGATGTTCTTCTTCATTTTCCCCTCTCTCTCCTTTCTCTCTCTATTAGAAAAAATGCAGCAAAAACTTTTTCAAATGTAATAATAGCTGTATATATATAACTGACAAAATACCTTTGTTGTATATTATTGTATGGTCCTAATTACTTGCTCTTTTTTTTTTATAGTTATCCTTAATTACTTGTTTATTTTGATAAATAAAAAAAATAAAATATTTTTACTTATTATATCCTCAATTAATTATTTTGAAAAATAGGGTAAAATGGTAACTCGTTAGGTCAATAAATATTTTTCTTAATGTGTGTCAATTTAAAAGTGGATAGGTAATTAGGGACAGAGGAAGTATGAAGTAGGGGTGTGCACTATTTGGATTAAACCAAAAAACCAAACCAAATCAAACCAAATTCTAATTTGGATTGGTTTTTTGGATTTTTGGTTTGGTTTTGGATTTATAATTTACTTTGTTTGGTTTCGTATTTAGAAAAATGAAAATCGAAAAAATCGAAAAACCCGAATTATATTTTATATATATATATATATATATAT